ATTCAATTTCTTCCATATTTTTAACATAATCTTCTTATGTTTATTACTTAATTTAAATAGGATTAATGTCATGATTGTTTTTCAAACAGCTTCTGTTGACCTATATACTTTTCTATTACCTCCATGTTGTTACACTAATTAGTCTTTTATTTATGCTACAACAAAGCTATAGTGACTATTGCTATAATAATTCTGTTATAGTAATCTTCTTCCTCTTTCCTACTCTTGCTATCAACAATTTATGGGGAACACAAACGAGCTCACTCCTATCTCTCGGACACGGCCTAACATCCCACACGCGACTTGGGTGCGGAACCATACAAACAAAAGAAAACTATTATAACAGAATTAATATAACAAATTCAAAATAACATTAGTCTAACAGATATAAATTATGATTACATGAGCAAACAAGAATTAGTAACAAATCTGCATATAAATCAACACAATAAATTTAAGCTACCATTACTTGACTTTGATACCAAGAGAGGAAATGGTCGATATAATAAGTAATACTCAACGAAAGCTTTTATTTAATTTAAAGAGAAGATATATACAAGCTTTACTTACAGAGTAATAGTAGACTAGATTGATAGTGGACTCTGACAAAGATAAAGGGAGATTCAGAGAGTGTGCATGAAAGACAAAAAAGAGGAATAATTTGAGGGTGCCCAACAGGCTATACCTGCACCTCTTTAAATAGAGACCGATTATGAAATCCGAATTTTAACACAACTTAAACTATTTATAACCTTTTAGTATTCACGACTTTAATAATTTACATTGACGTTATTTTTACTGTTTGTGACGTCACTGTTTACGTCACTTATTATTATAATTTGTTGGTGACGTCCTAGCAAGCGTTACTGTTTAAGATTCGACTTTATCCGATTATTTCCTGTAGATTAAATTATACAACTCATTACCGCTGTCTTGAAGGTTTATCTCCATACATCATTAAGCAAATCTTCATTAATTAAAATTGGGTGATGTGATTTTTTAGGAGGAAAAATATGTAGGGGATAAAATTCAACTTCATATGTGTATACAACTTTAAGAGTGAGGCCGTTTGTGTTCCTTGTAAATCGTTGACAATAAGAGTAGGAAATTGGAAGAAAATTACTATAGGGGAATTATTATAGCAACAATCAATATAGCATTATTGTAGCAGAATTAAAAGACAAATTATTGTAGAAACATGAAAGTAATAATGAAGCATACAGATCAACAGAAACTTTTCTGAAGAGCAAACATGGCAGTAAGCCTATTTAAATTTCATAATAAACATAAAGATGATTATGTTAAAAATATGGAAGAAATTAAGTTCTCAGATATTAAAAATAAATTACAAAACTGAGATATACTCCAGTATCCAACTAAGATGATATATAATATTGGAACTTTTAACTTTAAATCAAACTTAACAATTAAAACATTAGAAATGACAATTCCCTTGGATCAGAATGGGGATATCTTACAACTATTAACTGAAAGAAAAGTTTTAAAGACTTAAGAAAATTATAAATTTTTACATATTTGATTAGTCCAGGTGGCTTTAAAACATTAACTCTTCAAGGATTAAATGTCTCTTTTATGCTAGCATTAAGAGATGCTAGATGTTTAGATTTTATTCAATCATTAACGGCAATTATGCAATCTAACTTAAGCACTGGTCCATTTTATTTTAACTATTTTTTAAATTTATCAGTATCTTTAATGGATAAAAATATATTAGATGTTTTAACTTGTAATATTCAAACTTATGGTTACAATTTTAAAGATGGAGCAGAGATAATGACTTTTACTTATAGGGTATATTATAAAGTGATCAATACTTTATGTCAAGAAGCTAGGTTATATAATCATGAAGGCCAAACAACTTTAATTGAAACAAATATTATTAAAAATAAAATTAAAATTCCTAAAACCATTAAATGGTTAGAGATCTAGTTTTCAAAAACCTGACAATTGGAATTTGTGGTTCCTAAGAAACCAAAACTAAATAAATAGGTAAAACACATCTCTCAATCATCTGAAGGGGGTGTAATGATAACATTTTCTACAAGAAATTATTTTTCAAATTTCAAATTCGGAGCTTCATCAATATATTATACTCCTACTAGGAGGTTCGCTTCTTCTATCCCAGATAGGAGAAGGGGAAAAAAATCTATAATTGAAGGAATTAAAACTTCACATAACCAAATTCCACATGGAATTTATAGGCAAGATAATGAATCTTCCTTAGAGGAAGATAGAGATTCAACCTCATCCGAAATCAGATTTTAACTATAAATTTCTATCGATTTAAGCCCAAAAGAATTTATAATTAATAGAAAACAAATAAATGAAGAATTTTATCTTCCAAATTATGAGGAATTTAGAACTTAGTATTTTAAAACTATGAACCAAGAAGACCTTAAAAGGTATAAAGAAATGTTTTATCGTTATATAGAAAGGAAAAAAAGGATAATTCCTTTTGTTACATGGTTTTTAACCTATTATGCTCCACCCACTATGAATCAATTAAATGTAATTGAGAAATTTCAACATAAATGAAAAACATTGGAAGGCAAAAGTATAACTAGTTTCTATCCTCCCACTACGGAAGCTATAAAGCTAGCTTCCAATGAGGTAGGTGAAGTCATTTTAAATGCTTGCTACTCTTTAAAGGACACTAATCATATAGGAAGAGATATTTTCATAAAACAAAAAAATTACACTAATGTTTGTCTACCAGTGGTAGGACAACACTTGAGTAAAATTAAAAATTTAATAAAGGATCAAAGATAAGAAAATTTGTCTTTCCAATCTTTGAGAAATAAACCGATTGAAATTGAAAAGGTGAACATTAAGCCTCCAGTTGATACTTCAACATTTAACCTGCATAACAAAGTTGGAGATGAGTTCATAAATGAACTCAAAAACAAATTAAAAAATTTGTCATTAAATACAATTTCCCAGAAAGAGAGTGTAGAACAATCTGAAACTGAAGAAATCCAACAATTTGAAAATTCTTTACACCAAATGTAGTCTGAAGAAATAAATAAAATTGGGTATTCTAAATCTAAAAGACAAAATAATACATATTCACAAGCACTCCCTATGAAGGCTTATTATCACAGATCAACCCCTCAAGATATTTTATATGAGAAAAACTTTTTTATTGATCAACAATCATATGATGCCTCTTCTATTTATGAATGAAATATTGATGGCATGTCAAAATATTTAATTCATCAAATTTTGCATAAAATTTTAATGTATGCATTTGTCTATAAAGCTAATCGTAACACATACCATGCTACTGCTAAATTTATAACTGCAAGATTTACTGGACAATTAAGATGCAAGTGGGATAACTATTTAAGTTCAAACTCAAAAACATGAAATTTTAAATGCAGTAAAAATAATAACAGCTGAAGATGAGAGTATACTTACTCAAGAAGATGTTGTTTATACTTTAATACAAACAATATAAAAACACTTTGCAGGGACAAGCTTATAAAATACAGATAAGAGTAAAGAACTCTAAATGAATTTAAGATGTCCCACTTTAACACATTTTAGGTGGTATAAAGATGTATTTTTAACCAAGACTTCACCTACATTATTGGAAGCTAGCTTTATAACTTCCGCAGTGGGAGGATATAAACTATTTATACTTTTGCCATCTAATATTTCTCATTTATGTTGAAATTATTCAATTACATTTAATTGATTCATAGTGGGTGGAGTATAATACGTTAAAAACCATGTAACAAAAAGAATATCTTTTTTTCCCTTTCTATATAATGGTAAAACATTTCTTTATACCTTTTAAGGTCTTTTTGGTTAAGAGTTTTAAAATACCAAGTTCTAATTTCTCATATTTAGGAAGATAAAATTCTTCATTAATTTGTTTTCTATTAATTATAAATTCTTTTGGGCTTAAATTCATAGAAATTTATAGCTGAAATCCTATTTCGGATGGGGTTGGATCTCTATCTTCTTCTAAGGAAAATTCATTATCTTGCCTATAAATTCAATGTAGAATTTGATTACGTGAAATTTTAATTCCTTTAATCATAAATTCTTTTCCCCTTCTCCTGTCTGGAATAGAAGAAGTAAGCCTCCTAGTAGGAGTATAATATGCTGATGAAGCTTCAGATTTTAAACTTGAAAAATTATTTCCAGTAGAAAATTTTATCATTACATCCCCTTCGCATGATTGGGAGATGTGTGTTACCTCTTTATTTATTTCTGGGAACTCAATTTCTTTCATATTTTTAACATAATCATATATTTATTATGAAATTTAAATAGGCTTAATATCATGTTTGTTCTTTAGAAAATTTTCTGTTGACCTATATGCTTCACTATTACCTTCATGTTGTTTCAGTAATTTATCTTTTAATTCTGCTATAATAATGCTATATTGACTATTGCTATAATAATTCCACGAATATAGATAGATATGAAAGAGAAAATTTTTTAATGTTAATCACACTCTTAAAATTTAGGAGTTTTTCAATTTTAGTTTTATTTTACTTTTAAAGAGAATGGTGGAATAGATAGTCTAGTAAAATTGATAACAAGTAATTTTTTTAGCAGATTTAAATCTAAATAAATCCATATAAAGAGGATCTGCCTCAAAAGTTCCTTTAGTTCTACTATCACCTTTAGGCCATTCATCGGACCTTGAACGCTTTAGCTTGGGCGCCTATAAAACTTTGGACCAAATTATAACTAGGTGGGCTCGCCCAAATCACGTAAACCGGGTACAACCCGGACCACCGCCATGACCAGTGAATCCAGTGGCTCTGTAATTTTCTTCCACCATCCATACGTATCTCTCTGATAATCTGAACGAGTGGTCCTAAATCATGCTCTTTAGAATTGTTTCTTCCTTTTAACCATTTCGTTAAACACAAACACTCCTATAAATGTGTGAGTTCACAACAAATTCTGATTTGAGGTGCAGAGGTGAATCAAGAACAAGAATCGTAATTTAGATCCAAGTAATGGCCATGCGAGCTCTTCAGGCGTCCACATCCTACAGTGTTGGCTTTGGCATGTCCTTCGCCTCCCCTCCCCGGCGTTCCAGTCACCGCCGTATCACCCTTGCCCAAAGTAATATATAATTTTGATACTCGTTCATTCAAATCCCTAAGTTAACGATTTTCAGTTTATAATTTTCATTGTCGTGTTTTCTGTTTGTAAGATTCAGTAGTTGTTTGTGATTTCATTCTCCAAAAAAAAAAAGCAGGGAAATGAGGAGTTGAGAATGTGGTACGGTTGTTTAATTTATTGAAGAATTTGATTTTTGTGTTTTTCTCACAGTGGAACCAACAGACAAGTCTGTTGAGATTATGAGGAAGTTCTCGGAGCAATATGCTCGTAAGTCGGGAACGTATTTCTGTGTGGACAAAGGAGTCACTTCCGTTGTTATCAAGGTATTCCGTTTATTTGTGTATTGTTGAAATGTGGCAATTCATATGCTTTTTAGGTAAGTTGCAATTCATATACAGTCTTACTATTTAGTTTACTTTGGAAAAATTGTTCCCTCCATTTGCTTTAGAGTTTTTAGACAGATTGACTATATTTTGAACAAATAATCCTGTCCTATTTGTGTTTTTATACCAAATTTGTTGGAATTTTGCAATTTATAATCTTCTCACTGACATGTGAATGGTGTTATGTTTACACCAAAAACCCCGAGTCTTACAACAGTTAAATTTTGACATATTTGAGATAATGAAAGCTACCATTCCATATTATTGTAATTATGGAAGTAATGATGGGAAGATATATACTTGTGTACGACATATTGGAACACATAATTGTACATGGAAATCCTCCATGTCTCCGATTCAGAATCACAAGATTGCTGCCTTTTATTTTCTTTTGAGAAATATCACTAGTTACTACTGCTCTAACAGAAGATGCATACCCTATTGCATATTGTTCAATACTTGGTTGAGTAAGTTATGAAATCATATTTGCCTAAGTGTAATAGATTTGATCACGATTACAAGAACTTAAAAATGATACAGGGCATCGCTTTGGGCTTGTCTTTGAATTTACCAGATCTATGGTAACCAATTTTAGAATCGAAATTAGATTTTCCAGAAGGTAATACTAGGATCCGTAGGTGATTGGAGATTTATACATATCTCTAATGTCCATGGTATCAGTGTGATCCTTAATAGATTAATAGGTGTCATTATACTTACAAAATCAAAAGCTTGGCTTAATGACATGATGCTTCGAAGTTTGCCCAATCAGTCCAATATTCCTTAATAACAATTCCTTTTGAATATATATATTTGAATCCCTTTTTTTAGGGACTGTGGGATTGACTTGTGTTGATAGCACATATGGATGAGAAATTCATATATCATGCTTGAAGCAGTTGTCTGATACACTGATGGAGTTAATATTACATTTGATGTTTTAATTTGTTACTTTCTTCTGAGTTCTCTCTTGAAATTCATGGTTTATCTTGTCCTTTCATGTAAAATTTATCAATTACTTAACACTAAAGGAACTCTTTCGGAATGTACTAAGGGGTAGTCGGTGATTGGAGACTTGTATATTTCTCTAATTTGAATGGAATCAAATTCTATTGGTGTCCATTATACATAGAAATTCAAAAGCTTGTCTTAATGATGTGATGCTTCTAATTTAGCGCAATTCCGTTTGAAAATATATATTTTAATCCTTTTTTTGAGGGACTGTGGGAGTGACTTGAGTTGATAGCACATATGGACCTGAAATTCTCTTTTTCATGCTTGGAGCAGTTGTCTCATAAACTGATGGTGTTATTGTTAGAATTTGTTATTTGCTTTCTTCTGAGCTCTCTCTTTGAATTCACTGTATATCTTCTCCTTGCATGTAAAATTTATAAATTACTTATACTAAAGGAACTCTTTCGGAATGTACTTAGGGATTAGCAGACCACAAAGATACATTGGGTGCTCCACTTTGCCCTTGCAGGTAAATGTTTAGTTTTTTGACCATTAAGTACGGTGTAATTCTTGCCTTCGATCGAAATTCCATGCTAATATCAAATAGCTTTATAGTACATCTCCTTTTACAACTTATGCTCTTTGTTGGGGCCATTTTTGTTTCAGGCATTATGATGACAAAGCTGCTGAAGCACAACAGGGCTTTTGGAACTGTCCATGTGTTCCCATGAGAGAGAGGTAAAATGTGTAAAAATTTCTGATTTCGTTCCATTGCTCTGCATGATTGGCATGATGAATGTTCATCTTATCTTTCTGAGGATGGTAGATGGATATCATGAGTTATTCACCAATCACCAAGCATTTTTTATTCTTCAATTGGTGTGTTGTTCATTTAAAATAAACTCAATGACTTCTTGCTCTGGGCTCTAATATAGTTGGAGCAGACATGGAATTGATTATTACTAAACACAGTGCATAAAAGAGAGAAGGAATTTGTCGAGTGTAGCAAACCTAGGATACTTAAGCAACAGATCATTGATAATTCTTTTAACTTGTCTTGCATGTTCTAATCCTACAATTGCCTTTGTAGGAAGGAGTGCCACTGCATGCTTTTTCTCACACCTGATAATGATTTTGCCGGCAAAGAACAGGTAAACGTTATATCTTCCTAGCTTTGATTTCACTGAATATAGTATGAACTTTGGTCCTACCTATAACATAAAATATGTAAAGCAGATAATACCAATGCTTTGATTTTGCATGTACACCTGCTTATTACTTTTAACTGAGAGGTGTTGCTACTTAAATCGCATATTCCTCCATTTAAAGATCTCACAGCAATGGAAGAGATATTTGGAAGGAAGTGGTTTAGGGTGCCTGATTCTTGATAGATTCTTTTTAGAGTGAGTGTATGTGCGCACACCCCAGAGAGAGAGAGAGAGAGAGAGAGACCATGTGAACTTATGTTCATTTACTAATGCATAGTGGTTGGGCATGTTATTTGGGGAGGTTCATTACTGCTTCCTTATATGCGGCTTTTGCTATGTAGGCCATTTCTTTGGAAGAAATCAAGGAAACAACTGCAAATATGTAATGCTCCACCATATCATAGTCACCTTCTTGAGTAGTCCTAGATTGTATGTAAACTTGTATTCTAATCCAGAGGTCAATCTACTTATGTTGCAATAATCCTTTTTCCTTTTTTTCTTCCTTTCATTACGTTGTCTTTGGCTTGCTTGGTTTTTTGGCTGCATATAACTGGGATTTGGATTGCTGCTTATTGTCCCTTGCTCCATATTGTCGTCACTTTGTTGTCGTGGTTCCTTCTCAACATTTGTACTTGAGGGAAATGGGTAGCAGCGAGGGACAGCATTCCTTATGGACTCACTCTCCAGCAGTCCGACCGATAGTTTGTAATGTCTCTCATGCTTTTGTAAAAACGCTTTCGGGAGACTAAAACTGAATGTACCCGGGGGCTGCCCAACAAATCCGGAGATCTTAGGCTAAAATATGAAGTTGGGTCATATTAATAGGCAACAATTATTAAAATATATTCATTTAAAAACTATTTTTCTAATTTTTTGAGATGCAAAAATATTGATTAAATTTTGATATTCAAGTTTTGTTAATAGATATTTTTCAATAAATAATATAGTTAATCAATTTAATATTTCTTGTGACATAGTTGATCAGAGATAAGATTTTATTAATTTAAGTTTTGAAAAACTTCTCTCCACTAAAACAATTTTTACCGATATTGTTAACAATATTTTAAAAATTATATATGCATTTTGAAAAGAATCTAATCGTTTTATATAAGTTAGGGTTTTAGCAATCAACTATCAAGATTCAAGTATTTAAGTTTCTGTCAAAAAATGAGATATTTTAAATCAACAATAAAATCAAAAATATGAAATTAACATATTAAAAATTTTAAGCACACCAAACTTCTAAAACTTTTATAAAATTCTAATAAAAAATGAGAGAGCAATTGGATAAACTAGTTTTATTATAATAGATTGAGCCCAAAAAATTCTGACCTTTGAATCTTGATCACTATCAATTAATTGTTGGGTTTTTGAACTAAAAGAGATTAGAGAATAGAGAGTTTTGATGTTCTTTCTTTGTTTAGATTCAAACTTTATACTTCACAGAGAGAGAGAGAGAGAGAGAGACAGAAAGGGGCATGAGGGAGTGATGTTAAACCGACACTGTGGTTTGTGAGTGAATCCTATAATGATAATAGTTGATAAATTTGTGCGAGAGAGACGGAGTGATGTAGAGAGATTTGCCTAATTCTTTCATAGATGTGAGAGAGAAAAAAAAACATCTAGTCATCTACCTTCCTTGTTTCAAAAGTCTAGCCTCTATTATAACTGGCAGGTGAAAATGCAATTTAATCTCAAATGTGACTAAATGTCTTCAATGACAAAGACCAACTTGTCCCGAGACGTCACACATTGTAAATTCATTGTCAAGCAAACTTTTAAAACACAATTAAACTATCTCTGCCTTTAAAACATAATTAGACTCTCTCTCTCTCTCTCTCTCTCTCTCTCTCTCTCTCTCTGGGGGTTTTCAATGGGGCATCTATGAAAACAAATTACATGGGTTTTGATGCAAAAATCACGGTATGGTCTTAATCACATAATTCGAGTAAACATCCGACGGTCTAAGTGTGAATTCATGTTTTGGGAGCGAATTCTCTAAAAATTTATATTTATATTTTATAACATTTATAAAATTAATTTTTTAATTTGTAAATTTGACTAATTTGTCCTATTATTTATTTATATGCTTACTCATTATTATCCAACTTTCAATTTGAAAAGTATTGACCCATATTTAAAGATACATATAAAACTATAATTATATTTGTAAACTATAATTATCATTTTAGAACATTATAATCAACATATATTTAAAAATTAAATAGTTTGTCATACAATTGTGCATGAAATTGAAATTTTTATATTTTATCTTTATTAATTTTTATAAATGAATGTGTTGACATGCATATATTTTCTTGCTCTCAAAATGTTTTCACCCTCAATTTGTTTTAAATTTTGTCTTTTTCGCACTTTTGCTTTGCTATGCATTAAGAGTGTTCACAATACTCTACGGGTAGAAAGTATAATTTTTTGTTTTTTTATCTGATACTTTATGGAAGAAATTTTTTTTGACCTACCCTACCCGATTAGGTGTGGTATTTCTATCAAATTTTCTACCCGATTAATTGGATAAACACTTTTGTAACTAGGGTAAACACAATTTTGAAAGCTTAAAAAAAACAGAAAAGGCAAGAACGATACTTGAAAGTTAGGGTTTTAAGATTCATTAACTTGATGTTTAAAAAAAAATCAAATTTGTAGATGAAGGTCTGAAGATGAAAGCCACCAAATTGCGCCCAAACAAAGACAGACAGATAGAGAAAGAGAGAGAGAGAGAGTACATGGAGAGATCGGGGACTGAACAATGAAGGCCTGAGTTATGGAGGTAGAGGCTTGAGCGATGAAAGCCGATAGATGTAAAAGGGGAGGAGAGAAATGGAGTGAGGCGCTCGCTTAGTCAGTAGACAATAATGTTGGTTAGTAATTTGGATTTTTTTAGTCTATATATATATATTAATGCACATATGGTAGGGTAGGGTAGACATGCAAAAATTGATGGATATTCTGCATTTTTATCCAATTTAATCAAAAAATCAAAAAAAATTCTGTATTTCTACCTAATTTTTGTAACTAACTGTTCAATATGATAAAAAATTACGACAAATCAAAAATTTGAACACCAAATAGTTATCATGTTTCCCCTCATCTAAGATATGATTACATGGATACCTTAGAATTCTTATTAAAAATGATGATACTCAGAATGATTCCCGAGCTGGATCTCGGGAACAGAGGTCAGGTTAGTTGAGCTCAGAAGGTCAAAGCTATGCAGAGCTTAAAAAATCAGAGCTAGAGCTCCCCTTAAAGCGAGATAATAAGCTGAAACAGGGAGGAGACAACTGTATTACAAAGAACTCGAAAGACGGTTTGAAATAACACTCAAGACACAAAAATCCTCAACCAACTAAGATACGCTCTTAAGACTAAGGAGAATTCATTGGATAGATGACAAGGATCACGGATCGGATCCCATAGATTAAGGGATACCCCTATAAATACTATGTAACGCTCCCAACAGAGTGGCAAGAACCCTAGTATCACATCGTACATTTTGTAACCTTTTTTGATATAGTAAATAGTGAAGGAATGAGCAAGAATCTCCATTGAAGAGTGGATTAACCGAGCTCTTGAACCGGTGAATCACTATATTTCTACTGTGTTAATTCTCTAACTCTCCAATAATTCTCAATATCACTCCTTCAAGCCTAGTAGCTTAAATCTCAATAATTTCAAGATTATTTCTTTCATTTACTCGTCATAAAATTATACCACGTTAAAATAAGCCGTCAAAAAATATGATCACATCATCAAAATTTGCGGTTGACAGGTGAATCCTATTACGAAAAATTAAACATCATGACAATGCAATTATTTTTTCGTACCTTTGGGGTTTTGGAGATATATTGTGACAAACACCAAGGGGTCGATATGTAATTAATCCTACTATTGACTCCTCCCTCATTCTTGGCTTCTATGAAACTGCCACCATTGTTTCCAGTCCAGTCCCCTATCTTTTTACTGCCAGAAATGATGAACCCTCCCTCGTCCTGCTTTTGATCCACCACGAATCGTCTGATACACAAGAAAATCTGTTTATATACTTAGCATTCAGTGACACACACGCCTTCAAAGCTTATCAGGCAGCTAGTGAAACTCGTACCATTTTTGGGTTTGCGAGAGACAGAGATATGTCGAAACCCCGGATCACCATCACCCTTGGGCGCTCTGGTCAAGTACATCATTCCTCATTTTTCCGATCAATTTCTCTCTGGAAAACTTGTATTTCTGATTATCAGCAAGGGTTAGGGTTAGGGTTAGGGTTGTTTTTTTTTTTTTTTTTTTTTATGAGCTTCATGTCGGGGTTTGATTAGTTTATTGTTTTTGTCTATATATTGTGCTTTTTTTTTTGGAAGTAATTGATACTATACTCTGTATTAAACTGAATTTATTTGTTAATTGTTAAGGCTGAATGTGGTTTTTTTTTTCTATTTTCGATGTTTAGAGGGTGGTAAAGGGGGCATCGGTCAAATCTGCTGGTTCTCGTGCCGAGTCTCAGCCGCTATCGGGAAGGAAAAGATCTGCGAGAGAGATATTTGAGAGCAATGCTGATAATTCTTCTTCGTTTGCTAAAACGCGGTCTGTAGTTTGCTTTTTGTTGTTATTCCTTTCTATATTGATTGCCAGAGTTTATTTACCTTAGGCTTGATTTGGTATTTGGAATGCATGATGGGGGAACTATGATTTCCAATTTTAAGCAGTAGCTAAGAATTTTTCTCTAATTCTTTAGTTCTTCTCGACATCTAAATGGAGGGTTTAAAAGTATTGTATTATTATTTGCTAGATATATTTCATGCTGAATTTTTCAAAATTTGAGTGAAAGCATCAAATATTTTGTCAATTTATCAACCTGTTCTAGGGGTGCTAAATATTTTGTTAATTTGTCTGAGAAAGTCTGGTTCCTTTTCCTCTGAGAAAATCTATTTCCTTTTTTCATACCCCTGCCTCCTTTTCAGAATTAGGACCAGATGGTTTTTGTTATGAAATTTTGAGGGTTTAGCAGTCATGATGATGATTTTTGAGTTGATGCTGATGAATTGAATTCCACTCTGTCAGGCTTCGAGGGGATAGAATTACAAGGAGTGCAGGTGACAGAGGATTAAACGGTAATGACTAAAGTAGTAACATTTGACAAAAATTACTTTCTCATTTCTTGATCAGTTTTTAATTGCTTTACTTGTACGGAATTGGGTTTTTGAAGATGCACAGATTGGCCGAAATGACCTCCGGTTGAAACTCATGCGCAAACGAACATCTAGGAGAATACAGCGTGAGATTGAAGAACGTACAAGGATTGAGCTACGTGAAAAGATGTCAAGACCTATCCAATCTACGGTAGGGCCAGAAAGGGGTCTTTTGAGGAACC